TATTTTATACAATAACAAAATACCACATATATATTATATTTTATATTTTCATAGTTATTATTGGTGTATATAATAATATTCCGTTTTATTTTTGGGTATATGAAATTTGAAAAAAAATTATATTATATTTAAAAATATATTATTATTATATATTATTATATATTAAATATATTAGTATAATTATTGATATTAATGCAACTAATTTTCTAGGAATAAGCCCTTAATTAAATAATTATGTTAATAGTAATATTCGTAAATAAGTAAAGTTTCTTTTTTTTTTTGTTAAGAAAGAAATGATTATTTAATATATTGCAGAAATATATTACATTTTATATAGAAAATGTTTTCAGACATATAAATCTAATACTTCAAATAGTTATACTTCAAATAGTTTTCATTACATCATGTAGAAAAAGTATTTAAATTAACCTTAATAACGTAACTTAAATGCTTAATAGTTTTAATCTGATTAACATAACTATCAATTAATGTACTGCAATATTTGAATTTATATGTATAAAAAGACATTCCAGTAATATCATGTTGAAGTAATTTACATGTATTATTAGCACAACGCATACATTTTTAAGTTAAATATCATTAATTCCTCAATTAGTTTATTTACTTAGCAAATTATAATTAGAAAGCTTGCACTGCTATTAGTAATTCCGAATTAAGAGTTAGAAACACGCAGTTTTATCGAATTTTTCTCCGCACTCTATTATTTACGAATTCAAGCTTAAAGTTTTAACACAATGACTAACAAGCAATTGAATATAAAAGTTAAAAAATATTCTTTGCTTTCAGAGAATTTCCAGTTATACATCGGATACCAACAACACAACAAATGTTTGTATTATAGTTTCTAAATGTTGTTGAAATGAATATTTTTTGTTTGACACAGTCTATCTATGTAAAAATTTTGTCAAAAAATATTTTATAATGTTTTTTCCAGATTCCTGTAAGTTATCGTCCAGATCCTTCGCTTTTAACTCAGTCTGGAGTTAATCAGAAAAGTTTAAATAATCGTAATGGAATTGATGATAGCTCCGAAATACATATGTTATCAACCTCACATGAACAGGTTTATCAAGAATTAAGTAATCGGCATGCGACCTTACAATTAATAAGAAACTCGACCAGGTGAGTCTAATCATATTATAATGAAATAATTTATACTAACTTCATACAATATATTTTTATACTTTTCAAAAAGCGATAACAATATATTAATTTGTTAAAATGTTAAAATGTTTGTAGTGTGTTGAACCTTATATTATGTAAATAAGTATAGTCTTATTAAACTCGACAGAGTAAATTAATCTATCCTTGTTTTGTGTCTTGAAGGTCTTCGCTTTCGTCATTTCGTCATTTCGTCATTCAGTATAAGCCGCTTGTGAAGAAGAGGAACTATATTTTTTGTGTTTATTCGTGTAAAGAAATACCGAAAATATAAATATTTGTAAATATTAAAAATGAATTAATTTAAATAAAAGAAAACAAAATGAATAATAGAAGAGAAATAGTTAGCATTTTTAACATATGCATTTAAATTAATTTATTTATTTAAGTGTTTAAATTTATTAGTGAATGACTGGAATTTTGCAACATATTTCCAGTGAACATTTACAATAGAATGTAAATAGAACAATAGTTGTTCTGTTCTGGTCAGATAATGACTGCCCTTATTAGAAATAAAAATGAATCGTTCAGATTCCTTTGTAGTTATAATACAAATAATCTATTCTAAACCTTTAAAATAAAATAAAGAAGATAAGTTTTTCCGTCTAAATAGATTGTAATATGTTTGGATTGGATATGGTTATGTTTGGTTTTTCCTAGCGCAGCGAGGCGCCTTTCTTGTTCGCAACGAGGCGAATAAAACTAGGTTGCAACTAGGCAACTTGAATATAATGATAGGCGAGACTCAATGTTCTGTTTGAATCTGAATTCTTTATTAAATTTGTACAGTATTTATACTTATTCTAACTTAAACACTAACCTACCTGAATATTATGTTCGCCTAGTAATTTTTCATATAAAAATGCTTAATATGCATTTCAATTAATTTAAAAATATGAATTTATTATTATTATTTAATAATTACCCGAAATACTAAATAATGAAATTCCAATGCAAGTTAATGCACTTTACGAATTTCATTTGCGCAAAACAAAAGAATCAAATTACTTTTCTTTTGCGCTTCTTCACATGGTAAGTGTGTGATCAATGTCTTTGCTTTTGGCATGTGCCAGTAACGTATGTCATCATATTACCATTAACAAATAATTATTTTGTTTGTTAATATGTAGATATACTACAGATCTAACCTAAGATTAATTACTGATTTCTTAACTGAACATTTTCTTGTTAACTATCAAATTTTAAAGATTAATCACTGATTTCTTATCTGGACATTCTCTTGGTAACTCCCAAATTTTAAAGACACAAATAGATATAGAGTGAAAAGTCGACCTATCTTATCTGTTCATGTCCTGCGAAGACCGGAAATGAGACAACAGACAATATTATTAGGTTTGTCAACAGGTGTAGATTCCACTTTTTTACTCATGTTAGTTTCAGTAGAGTCACCCTTTAAAAAAATAATTTTTCTAGCGTATTCTCGCCACATCTAGTTATGTCCTAACTCATGTATTTGTGATTGTAATTTCTTTTATGTTTTTGTCATTAGAGCTCCACATATTTCTACAATTACGAAGTTTATACTTTTTCAGCAGTGTGTTCTGTAGTAGTATTTTTTTTTAATTAATTATAAAAATTTATTATGAAATTCTTTACATCTATAAATATTGTTATTATATTATAATATATTCTAATATTATATATTATTATATTCTAATTTTTGATTTGTTTATTTGTTTTACTACCAGATCTCATGATGTGATTGGGGCACTTCGACAAGCAATCCAAATGAATGGACGGACTGTGTTTGTAGATCTTTTAGGAGCAATACTTGAAAAAACGTAAGTTTGTGATCCTAATGTCCATTATGATTTGATAATAATAAATATTTTTTAATACCATAGGTCATCATGGAATTTGGATTTATGTTTATTAATTTTACCAGAAATTTTTGAACTTTTGAAAAGTCAACATAAATTGTAAGTTACTAAATAAGAACATTAACATTCGATTAATTATAATAGAAAAAGTTTTTCGAACATCTAAAGCGCGTATTACACATCAGATTTAGTTGTACAATTTATCTGCTGAAATGCTCAATCTAATGTATAATAGCAATATTTGAAGTGTTAACAAAAAGTTGGATGGAAATCAAAATATTTTGATTTTTCGTCAAAATTGCTTTTGTTTTTTCGTATACAATCGTATTTTTGTCGACTTACTTGCAAAATTTCGAAGCGAAAACAAACTCACTTAACCATGGTTCGTATTTGCTCACTCATGAGCAGCTTAGGGTCATGAGCAAGAGCCAATTTTTACGTGAGCCCAAAATTGGCGTATGAGCGTGAGCCAAAAATTGAGTCATATTGATGAGCTGTTCACCATCGGGAGCCTTCAATTAGCTCATATTGAGTTGCTGCTCATGACGTTTCACGAGCCGAGAGCTCACAAGCTCAACTGTTCAATAAAACGCGATGTATTAGTTTATTTGATTTATTTATTTTTATACACATTACTTGCTATGTGAAAATATATAATTTGAAAATAACTTGGCTTATTATTATTTATATTAAAACAAAATAATGAAACAATAATATATTGTTTTTCGCATTGTAAACAAATTGTTTTATTCCATTCAAAAATGAGCCGAAAAGAGTTGCTCATGGGTACGCAAATAGGAACTCTGCTCTTAACTATATCCATAAAACTTTGTTTTTGTATATTTTATATAAATTTTTGGTTTTTTTTCATATTAAAAAACTAAATATAATCAAAATTAAAATTCTATACTTTTATATTTTAATAATATATTGATGGTTTTTGTTTTCTTTTAGTCATTATACTAGAGCTTGTGATACTTTAAGAGTGATACTTTCCAATTTCTTGCCAATAATACAGGATAATATTGATCCATGGGCAGCAAATAATTTGGGTGTAGATGTCTCTCGGGAAGAGCGTCAGCGAAAGTGCATTGAATGTCAGCATTGGCTGCTGCAAATTCGCAATTTACCTGAAACCTCACATTTCGGAACATCTCTTACACAGCTACAAAGTTTGATTGTAAACATTTAAAAACCATTATTAATATATAAGTTAAATTTAAGTTTTCCAACATTGTATTACTAATATAATTTTGTTTTTTGGCAATATTTTATGCATTTTTTGTTATTTATTATGTCGTATTTGTGTTTAAGAATTTTTTAAACCATAGAAACTAGTTACTAAACTGTTATATGATTTTAAGCTAAGTCTAAGTTAATAAAAGTTAATAATGCAAAATTTAATTTATTACTTATATTCCTAATAATTTTAAAACTGTATTTAAATTGATTACACATTTGTAAATTAAAATTGTCAATATAATTGATAAAGAACATTTTTGTAGAACTAACATATTTTTTTATTAATTAATAACTCGTAATAACATTAATATAAGCAATAAATTAATTTTAAAATTAAATTATTGTAAACTTGATATATTTTAAAGAAAAGGAGGCAAGATCAGGTTTTGCTCATAGAAATCTGTACTAAAGAAATGAAAGGAATTGAGTATTAGAAAAAAAAATGGAATTAAAATATTAATTTTTTTTTTGTTAAATTTTCGTGACTACTGTACTTAAAAGTTGACAAAAAATTATTTTAAAATTGATTTAAAATAGTTATATTTTTTTAATTAGGATATATGATGTATTCTCTTTTAACAAAAATTTTATATTGAGTCGCATATAATAAACTTAATTGTTATTAAACTTCCAGTAATTTAATACTATTATTTTAATTACACATTTACAATAATGAAATTCGTGTTTGCACACAGAATATATTTGACTTGAAGGTGCTTTATATATGTACAGTACTTTTCGCTTACAATATATCCATTTAATACGATTTTACTGTTAAGTCGATTTAAATCAGAAGTGTGCATTTAATTTTAAAAAGTATTCTTTTATTTTGGCCCTAAATTGAAATGAACTTCCCTTAAAATAAATCATTTTTCACTATCCTTTTAAGTTTGACTTAAACAGAAAGTATTGTTTTTTGTATTGAGTTTTAAATATTGCAAATCGATTACATTTTGTAAAATGAATTGGTAATAATAGATTTTATTTAAATAATAGCAATAATATTATTATTAAAAACATGTAGTCTCTTTGTATTTGTGCTCATATGTGAATGAGAACATTTAAGTAAAATTAATATGCCTTATTGAACACTTTTTTTATATTATTTTTCTATTTTGTTACAAAAAAGTGTGTAGTGCCAATGATATTCTAAAGTACACTTGTTATAATCAAATGATAATACAATAATGGTATAATAGCTTAATATTATATTTTTATTGCAATGTCTATTTATTTTTTATTTTATATATTATTTATATATTGTGTCTATTCTTATTCTTATGATTTTAATATATAAATTTGTAAAACAAACTATTTTGGTATTATATAAAATTATATATATTTTTTACTCATTCAGAGGTAATGAACTTGCATAAATTTTGTTAAATGACTAAATATCTGATAAGAATGGAACACAAATTATAGTTGACCAAGCACTTATTCACAGTCATTTTTAAATATAACTCATCTTTTATCAAATATCACAACTACGGCAACACGCCATTAAATCATAACAATTTCTTACTGAAGACTTTAGCTTATGGCATAAATATTTTTTGTAACCGAAATATATTTAGTAAGGATATATTAATTTTACACTACAAGAGAAATTCTTCCATTAAAAAACCATTAAAAAAATATTCATATTAGAGAAATTTAATTACAAATCATTCTCCTTTAATTTAGACTATTAATTGGACTTAAACATTGTATGAGATTTTATTTGTAGTTATAATGTGTTTACAAGTTTATTTCCGAGTAATTTGGAAAGTGCCTTTCGAAAAAAATAAACTTTGCAACGTCTGCTCCATATAGGATAAGTTTTTGATACCATTTGTATAAATAAAAACAATTCAATTGTATAATCGCGACAAATGATTTTTAATCAGAATGAGAAAATTTTTAAAAAATTGTTAAAAGTTGGTGTAAGAAAAGTTAAAGTAATAAAAGATTTTGTTAAAAAGTCACAATTCGTAAATGTACTTAAAACCATTTAATATTATGAATTATATATTGTACATATAAATAAACATATTTTTGTATTGTTCATAAAACATATAGCTTAAGTTATTTTAATAGAACATATCAAGTTTATGCAAACATTTTATTAATCGCAACCTAAAAAGAGTCAAACCTTTATACTTTTTTATTAATATAACGAATAACGTATATAATTTGTATTGAATAACGTATAGGTATATTCAGAATGTATATTTTAAATAATTAGGACATTTGTATTAATCAATCTCTTGACTCATGCTATATTGATTATCGCATTAGACTTTAATTAAAATGTAGTATTTACTTTTGTATTAGGAACTACTTTAGTAACATATATTGATAAATAATTAGTTTGTTTTTATAAAAAGAGAATATGTGCAGTTTCTTGCAAATAAATACAGAAGAGTATATAAAATTTATTATATACAACTTTTTTTTATAAACACTCTTATGTAACTACTCCTGCACTTAGTAATAATTTATCATTATCTTACAAGAATGAGTTTTGAGAAGAATAATTATTGTCATTCATCAATCCTCAATTTTACATTTTTTGTAATTTAAACTTAAACAGAATTTGCAAATATAAATACATAAAGTAACCCATTAATTTATTAAAAAAAATTATTAATATTTTTATTCGATATTTTATATATATGATTGTAAGTTTTTTAAAACAATTTAATTCTATTTAATGATTTTAATATGATTTAACTATTAATTCTTTTAACAAAAAAATGTGAATAATTCTTCAAATTCATAAGGTAGGAAAGAAATTAATTAAGATAAAATTTATTTTTGTTATTAAATAAAATACGTATTTTATATATTGATTAAAACATTTTTGCAATATTTTTTAAACCTTTAATATTTTTTAAGTATCTAAGTAAATTAATATTTAATTATTTCTACAAAAAGGGTATTTGGGTATTTGCCTTTTACTTTTTAGTTTGATTGTCAATGGTAACTATCTTTAGTATCAGATTTTTGCATTATTATTTTCTCAACTCAGATACAGTTGTTGTAGAAGGTTCTACCGACACTTAAAATAAAATACCATATTTGTTACACTATATATTATATTGAACTATATATATATAT